CAGCAAGAAATGGTCAGTTTCCCACCTTTAGTACATAAAAATGAGTCCAAGTGGGGAGGCACAAGTTATGACCAATGAAAGTGTTGTTGGCTGCATTGCAGAGCTTGGATTTTTATCTTCTCAGTGAATGAGTTTACTTAAACAAACAAACAAAAAGACTTTCTAGCTTCTGTGCAGAGAATAAATAAATGTAAGGAAAACCAGATTCCTTAGGCTGGAGGTGACTCATTTAAAGACCATAATACAATAGACATCATGAGCAACCATATCAGGTGGGTGGTCACCTGAGTAGTGCGTTTGAAAATAGAGCAGTGCATCATTTTCCAGGATTTGGATGTGTTTGGATGAAAGGGGTAAAAAAAATTGAGCTTTGAAAAGTTCTGGATGTCCAACTTAATTGATAACATCAGGCAAGAAAATGAGCATACATAGAGGGGTAGTCCTAAAGAGTACACATAGGAATCCATGTTAAACACAACTGAATATTGGAGTCTCTATTTTATGGAGAAATGCATTAGACTTCTCTCACACTGTTGCTACTGTACATGATTATCAAGCACATCACAGTAAGGCAGCATATTTTAAGGGAAAATACTGTATACAATGAGAGATGCTGGTCTTCATGGAAAACTCTTTGAGGATTTTTCTGTGTTGTGTCATAGTTCCTGGAGGAGAGGTGATTTTTCAGTCTTTATATAGATCATTTTTGTAGGAATCTATGAAAGTGATCTTTTATTTCTTTACTTAGGTTTAAATCACAAGTACATTTAGAATAAAGACAGTGACTTGGAAATAATCAGATAACAAACACATGCAGATTGAATGACAGAGATTCTATCTGAATTTATGTGAAATCCAGGCCAGAGTCAATAAAAACAATGGAATGAATTCTTGGCTACTACCACAGCTTTGATAATGCTATCTACATTAATATATTTTCTGATAATTTAAAACTTGGATATGTTTACAGCTATGGCATCAAAGTAGATCAGAATGATTCCAGAAAATTCTTCCTATCTAATGTCTAATTTTTAATGTAAACATAAAATAATATTGTTTGTAATGCTTCAATCAAATCTATTAAAGCATGAATGACAGCTTTCAATCACTCAGCACATAACTTGACAAACACTGTTTTTGAGGCATCACTTCAGGCCTTTGACTATAAGATGAACAAACAAAATCTCTGTCATGTTCATTTATTCTTGGTGGATACACGCTGTAAATATCTAGACATTTTAACCTGCCAGGTGGAAGTAAGGGCTGTGGAAAAAACTGAGTGAATAGGGAAAGAATGAATTTGGCAGTCACGCTATTTTGTAAAAAATGGTCAATTGATCTAAAATATCAACAACCAACAAGTGACTTTTTAAAAAAGAATGTATAGATTTGAATGCATGTAAAATTCATCAAATGTAGGCAAATTCCATCATTCGTTTTTAAACTTTACTTTCAGAAATATATTTCCAACCCTTGAATTCTTTCAGTATTTTCATTAATTGTGTATCTTTTGGTCTTTAGATATAAAATCTATATAAGGACATATATGTATATTTGCATGCATGATACCAGTGTAATATATGAAATAATCAATATATTCTGTATATTATCATATATGAATTTAATTATGCATATATACATGCATATATAAATGCATAATTAAATTCACATATGATAATATGCAAATGATATAATAATACACATATAAAATAATGTGTAGATTTGTCCAAACATTAAAAAAATGGGTTGCTAGGTAAAAATCTAAAATACAGCAACCTATTACTCATTACTGTCAGTAATCTCTTGTGGTTGACATTCACATTTTATTCTCAATATTGCTTCATTTAATTTCTTTTTCACAGTAAATATATATTACATTTTGGGCAAAATATTTTAACATATTAAACTCTTACACGATAAATATTGCTCTAAAATATCCGTTTATAAGAAAAAGACTGACAATAAAATTTTCAAAAAGCAGAAGTTTTCCTCTACCATGATGATTTAAAGAGCTAGGCATATTACTAGCTCTCTGAGTTATTGTTAGAAACAAAATTGCAGAGACATTATGGTTTTGCACACACTTCTTGACTAGCTATTATTGTTGTTCAGATTGCTTAAACTGTTTCACCACCCATATGTAATCTCTGCATAAGAAACTTAGTTCTAGGGACTGATAAGTAACTAGGATAATGAGGGGGAGTAGATTGTACTAAAGTAACCCCAACACATTAATAGATGTCAAATGAAACTTTAATATAATTTTGTAGGATCTATGCTCATATGAGTGTTACTTGCATTACTGCACAATATCCTTGACTCTCTTCAAAGTGTATAGTGTGCATTTAACTGTAAGTTACATAATATAAACTTTAAAGAATTTTATAATCTTTAATACAGATCTGAGCTCACACACAGAGAACGTGCTGACATTTTTGAACCATTTAACTCACAGAGAACAACTTTATTTTGCAATGGAGGAATCAGGTTTATAGAGTGTTTTACCAGTCTCTAAGTCATTCTCTTAAGACCTAACCTCTGGTAAAATGAGAGTTGGTCCAGTACACAGCTTCCCTTCATGTTTGTAGTAATATCTTAAGACTGGCTGAGAAAATAAGCTACACTCATCCTTGCAGTCCCATTTTCTCTTCACCCTGAGGTTAGGTGGAACCGCATCAGTATTTGCATAAATCCATATTCTATTCTTGGAATTGAATCCATATTTTATTTAGGAGGAAATGCAAGTGCAGTGATTTCTTTTCTCTAAACTCCAGCAGCATCATCTTCATGAGAGAACTATTTGATGTCAATTAATACAAACGGATGATGTATAAAATAGTGATTTGTTTATTACTCAACTGTCACTGATACAAAATTGATGGAAAATTACTTTCTTGAGTTCAGAACTGACTCCTTCTATTTTATTTTATTCACTTTTCAAGACAAAAAGTAATTTCTGCCAACTGCTGGTTTATAAATTCAACCCAAGCTCTGAAAATGAGGTTCTATTTTCTCTCTCCTTTATCTCTCATCACGGATGATAAAGATATTGCCATTGGAATTCAGCTATGACTACATAGATGATTAAGCCAAAGTCTAATTGGCTTTGCTGTGTTAGCAGAAGTCAAAATTTAATGGTTGATTCCCACCACCTGTATTAAAATAAACCTCTGTGATTCACAGTCTCAGAAGTCTGTTGATTAAGGAAAACTTTGTGTGCAATGAAGAACTGAGTATAGGAGACTAGGAAAATCCAAAGTTAAGTTTTTCTTTCTGAATTTGGTACTATTTAATATGACATTGTCCAAGGCATCATTTAAATGCATTTATATTTGAGATGGTTGATACACATTTTAAAGCGTGTGAAAGTCGTGTTTGATTTGAAAGAAAAGCATTCATTTGTGGTAATGGGGAAATAACTGTACACACAACAGTTCATTTTGTGGAATTAAGAGAGAAAGCTTGAGAACCCCAGAAATGCCCAGGGCAAAGCGGATGTGGCCTTGTTAGCCCTGCTCCTCCACTGCCACCCCTCCAGGGAGTCTGCTCCTGCAATGCTCTACTTACCAGGCAAGCTGAAGTGCTCTCTGGGGTGACTCAAGTAAACAAACTCCCGAGTACCAGGACATGAAATGAGAAAATATTTCTCTGACAAGCCTTAAACTTACAATTATTTTTCTCCAATGTCTCCCTGTGGAGATTTTCAGCCAGACCTTGACCATAACTGAGAGGCTGGATTTTTTTTCCAGACTTGTATTTCTAAAGTAATTAGAGTTGTGTAGTTCAGCTATGTTTTTCTATGATTTCAGAATTAAAGATAACAAGTGAAATTTTGAGTGATGTGTATGTGGAAATAGTTTCTAAACTTCTGTTTGCATAGACATTTAGTCTGAATGATTACAAATTCCTTGTGAACCATCCCATGAGTTAGGAAGCCTTGGGTTAACAGTGCATAATAAACATCATCATTGCGTTTGTTATTTCTGATGTGAATTAGTAACAAAAATGAGACCAACCTGAACAATTTCCTATTTTTGAGAATGGTCAGACTGTTCGTAGTTCTCAAGAGTTTATACATTTCCGTTGTCTTCAAGTGACCTTCAAAATTCAAACTTGAACTCATGGGTCAGGATATTACTAGGTATTATTTTTCTAACTCAGTTGCAGTAAGTCAGGTCCTGTGTTTGTTGGATTCAGTAACATTTTACAGTCCAAGTAGTAGGAAGTAATAAAGAATCTGAGACAAAGACGATGCCATATTATGATGCCTTAAAGGTCAATTAGCTGCACATGTTGAATATTATAATAAACTTACTGAAAATATTGTACAGTATAAAGACCAATGTAAAAATGAGTGTGTCACCGAAAACTCCATTCAGAGTTCCTAGGTTCTTTAAAAAAAAAGGAAAGGACATTTTCTTTTCAAGACTGGGCATCATCCCCAGGGCTTTTCCCAGTGAGATACAACCCCAGTCCTTTGTTTATTTTTTACTTTGAGGCAGAGCCTTGAAAGTTACTAAGTTGTGCGAGTTGGGATTGAACTTGCAATCATTCAGAATGCTGGAATGACAGCCTTTTGCTACAGACTCATTTTAAACCGGGGAAATTTTGAAGTAAAGCATGTATCTATAAATCATTAAACATTATCTTCCTTAGGAAAGAAAAAAAATCAAATCGTAAAACCTCTTGGAGTTAAGTTTTCCCCTTTTTTGGATTAAACTTTATATTCCCAAATTAAAAATTTGAAGCATGTTAATTAACAGTATTAACATGATGAAGAAAAATTTCACATTGAAAGAGGCCTTTATGACCATTCTGTAGAACAATCCCTCTAAACACTACTTACTAGAACAAAGAACTGAATAACACAGCAACCCAGGACCCCAGGTTCCTCAAGAAAAACATCTTAAATTCTCATTTATTCTGCGTAGTTATCCACTGGAATGGGTGGGAACACACAGTGACTAAACTAACAGGCTGTTCCTTTCTTCTTTTTCTAGGGGCTGATGTTATCAACTTCGACGGTCATGTTGTTTTGCCATATAGATTCAGAAATAAGAAGATGAAAACCCTGAAAGATGTCATTTCCCTGAAGTTTAAAACTTCTGAAAGTGAAGGGGTGATCCTCCACGGAGAGGGGCAGCAAGGGGACTACATCACACTGGAACTGCAAAAAGCCAAGCTGGTCCTCAGTTTAAACCTAGGTCCGTGCTGTTTCTCTGCATCATTCTTTCCATTTATTAGTATTCCCGCTAGGAAAATATTGTTACTTAGTCATTTAAAATGTGAATTATGAAGCAGTCACCCTATACTGTCAATTCATTCTTAACCCTGGTATATACTGATACACTACTTCCTGCACAAGTATTTGTTAAATACTTGTCACATGCAAGGTGTCTACTCCAGTCTGGATTGTACATCAGGGAACAGATAATCAAGGTGCTTAAACTCATGAAGCTTATGACCTTGTGCAGGAGTTAGACACTACATTAGATTTTAGTATGATTGTAAAATAAATGATTTCAAATAAAGTGTGATGAAATCAGGAAAATCAAGTTAATAAGACCATAGGCATTTGTTTACATATCCCTTCCAAAGCAGGGAAGTATTGAGAAAAGTCCTCTAGGAAAAGAAAAAGCAGTGTTCAAGCTGGAAACTAAGTGATAATCAATTAATCAATCACATCCTAAAAACATGAAGAAGACTAGGACTTCCACTAGGACTTCATTGGAAGGCAACCATACAGCTGGGAAATTGCAGGCATGGTAAAGAGTCAACATCTTATTTTAAGAATGGGTGGTTGTGGGAATTTAACCTATATGATCTTCATTTTAAAAGTGGACTAATACTTCTATAAGAAGAATTCTCCGTGGGAGAATTGCTTGTGAAAGTCAAAGCAAGACCCACATAGTTGAAGAGAAAAAAGGCCAGACTTGGTTATCAGTGAAGATGCAGAGAGATGTGTCTAGTAGGGAAATCATTTTAGTGATAAATTCAGCATGACTTGGAATGAATTGGAGATGACATTAAAAAGAAAGGAGTAAAAACATAGAATAATTCCTAAAATTTGGCCTTGAGCATCAAATGGATTGTAAGTGTCATTTGCTGAAATAGAAACACTTCAGAAGGAACTGATATTTGTTTAAATATGGAGTATTTGACTTGCCTATGGCATATTTCAATAGAAATTTCTTTTCTAGAATTGTGTGTCTGAGACTGATAAAAGAAGGTACTTTCATGAGCACCAAGAAGTGGACAGTGAGGAGAGGGAAATAAAGATTGTGTAGTATCACAGAGACCAAGGGGGAGTAAAGAAGAGAACAATGTTAAATTCATCTAACATGTCACAGTAGGTGAAGATACAGAAATAAATACTGGCTTTGATGACCCGAGGGTGTCGAAATAGTCTCTATGGAATAAGAAGAAAAATAGTTTTATTGACTTATTTTACAGGTAAATAAAGGGTAAAAGTTTGTGGAATTAAACATTTTTAATATAGTTAGAATATAAGCAAAGGAAACAGTGAAACGAAATATTGGCCAGAGAGAAAGGTAACATGAAGGAGTTACCGTTTTGACTGTCATTCCCTTTAAGTAGTGAATACTAACACATGTATGTACATTAATAATGGATCCTGTATTTACGTGTTAATAAAAATCTCTGCAACTCTGGTACTAGTTCTTAAAATTATAGTTCATGCAAAGAAATGATCTCTTTCTTGCTTGGCTAAAAAGCCAAGCTCTGTATAACGTTTCTCCAACACAGCATATGTTCCCTGAATTTTTTCTGTTGCAATGAAATAAAAATTCACCGAAACTTTATACTTTGAAATATACAAATATCTAAAATTCACAGATGAAGATCATCAGAATCAAAAGCTACAAAACTGAAATGTTAGAGCATCAGAATAAGGCTCTGCCCATTTGATTTCCTAACCAGGTGCCAACTTGCGGCTATAAACATTCGAATTTGACTTTTAACTATTACCTTTTATTACTTTGAAATTTACTGTAATATCAAAATATAACTATTGTATCGTATAATATCAAAAATGTAACTAATGAAAAAATTTAAACATAGACCCTTTGCAAAATAGGACTTTTTACATTGTGAGTCTGATCTGATAGAAATAATGGACTCTTTAAAAAAAAAAAAAAAACGAGTTCACAAAAAATTCCAGATCACTGAACTATATTAAACACTAAAAGTTTCTCAATAAAATAACCAAAATTAATGTGAAACTCAGGAGAATGTAAATGTCAAACATGAAAGGTTAATGTCACTCATTATTAAGAGATTTTTCAACTCCATAAAACATTAGGAGAAAATGTAGGCATTGAATAAAAATTATAACTCATTAAAAATATATATGAACATTCTATAAACACCAAATGCTCAACCACACTATTCAGAAAAGGCAGTATAGTAAAATAATTCATTCTTGTCATAAAATGAAGATACTAGTGTTGTTGCATATATAACAAAAATTATGTTTTACTGCTCAGTAATTAAGAAAATTTTCTCAGGAAATCAATTTGACAGTATACCTGAAAAATTTAAAATAGTCTATATGTTTGATACAGTAATCATAAGAAAAAAATTAAAGATGACCACAAATCATTTAAGTCCATTAATGTACCTTTTCAATATCAATTACAATATCAAAAACTGGAAATAATAAAAATGTTAAGTATATAAAAGTATATGACAAGAGTATTTAAAATGGCTGTGGTATTTTTAAATTTTATGGGCAAATAATGTTACATTGAATGAATATTTTAGGACATGAAATCTATATAATATGACATCAACTCTTTCGTAATAAATATGTAAGCAACTGGGTTCATATAAAATATTTATGTTCAAATGGATGTTCAAATTCTGGAAAGAATTAAGTTCATGATTCAAGGTACCACTGTACACACATTTTTAGTTATCTATAAAAATCACTAGGTAATTTAACATGTACATGCAATTTAATTATATATACTTACAACTTAAAGTGCATGTAAAAAAAAACACCTGGAAGAAAATAGGCTGAAGTATTTTTAGTGATGTAAAATTTATTTTACTTCTTGATTCTTTATAATGCTCTCTTCAGGTAATAATAAACAAACCTGTATATGTTGTGCTCCTGGTAGAAATAGTTTAAAATAAGTTTTAACTGAGGTCCAATAGAAAGAAAAAGGAAAGGATTATAGGAAAGAAACAAGAAGCAAAATATAAATATTAGGGTAAAATATACACTTTCATGAACACAGGCTCACACGCACACACACTGAGCAGTTGTATCTAAAGATGCTTAGTTTTTCAGAAGTGTTTTTCAAGCAAATGAAACTCACAGTGTAACCTTTGAAATCAACTGCAGTTTATTATAGCTGTGTGATATTACCTTTCTAAAACAAGTACCTGGCATGTAACCTCTCAAAAAAACTCACGCCCTTTTCACTGAAAAGTAGTTTACTCCCAGGGTTTCATTGATTCCTAAGAGTTCATGACAGCCACAGAAATCCACCCACTCAGATATCTCCAGCCCTCCTAATGCCACTGACTCTGTAGCAGGCTGTCTTCCTTAAGGCAGTGTTCTCCTGGAAGTATTGACTGTAATGAACCAAGTACCCCTTGTCCTAGTCTTGTTTTGTGTCTTCCCTCCTGGCCCCTCCTCCTTCCTCTCTCCACACATACACACCAAGTCACCACCACACATCAGCGTTTGATTTTATCACATGAGCGAACAATCGAAGGTCACTCTCACCAGGTCCTCTGACTCCAGATCCCACATGACTCTGGTTTCCTAAGGAACCACCAAAACTTTGCAGAATTTATCACACAATAAAAATAAGAGAGTTATTTATAAGAGATGTATTTTGTTTCCATCTTCACTTCTATGCATTTTTGAACATAAAAGTCATTCAAGCACAGACAACTGGTTCTCCCAGGCTACCTCCACAGGACCGAGCCTGGAGGGACCCTCAAACTCGCATTTTCAACCAAGGGATCTGTTGTTCCATAGAGTGGGCTGAGTAGTCAGCATTGTGTTTCTCTTCTACTTGCATGACTCAGGAAGCAACCAGCTTGGACCCATCTATGGCCACACATCTGTGATGACTGGAAGTCTGCTGGATGACCACCACTGGCACTCTGTGGTCATCGAACGGCAGGGCCGTAGCATCAACCTCACTCTGGACAGGAGCCTGCAGCACTTCCGCACCAATGGAGAGTTTGACTACCTGGACCTGGATTATGAGGTACAAGCCCCCATACCCACACCTACACCCATACACAGCTACAGCTTCATATTCTGACACTGTGATTTTGTAATATCATTGCTAATTGTATATTTACTGGTACCTTTTTATTCTTCTCAAAGACAAAAGAACTTGTATTATGAAAATATAATTTATGAATACATATATAATATATATATATATATATCATTGTATTTAAAGATATTTTAATCATGAAAGCTTGTTATACTTTAAAAATCTAATGTTAATACTAAAATAATAATTTCATCTGCATTTATGGCTTACTGGAACAGCACCTGCCTTGCAAGTATGAGGTCATCAATTATAATCCCCAGTACCAAAAAAGAAAAAATAAAATAATAGTTTGAAGAGAGACAGTGTTAGGAGGACCATTTTATAATTTCAGAATAAATTTAAATTGAAGTCATTCTATGGGTGTAATAGCTATGCATTACTACAGAGAAGTGGCTGAGGCATTGAACTTCATACAAATATTTATTTTGTTTAACAGTTTTGAAGGTTTAAAATCCAAGATTCCTCCTAGTTTACCTGTTAGTAAATGTCACAGATCCTTGATATCTTGTGCCAGACAAATGTGTACAGACAAATGATCGTGTCTTGAATCAGATGAGAGGGAGGGAGGAAGGGAGGGAAAGAGAGAGAGAGAGAGACACAGAGAGAGAGAGAGAGAGAGAGAGAGAGAGAGAGAGAGAGAGTGTTTATGATCCTATAACCTTCTCTAAGCGCATACATCCAAGGACCTGAGCAACTCCTACTACATCCATCACTTTCTGCTCGATGGTATCTTCTAATACTTTACTGCCACTCTGGGAAACAGCCTTTTCCTGTTGAGAACTCTCTACATCCAAGTTGTCACAGCTGTTAGTTAATTATTACCTATTATTCTTGAGGATGTGCAGTGCATTATATACAGAGAGCTGCCTGGAGTTTATCATAAAATATTGAGTATAAGGACTTTCATCTACGGTTTGTATTATGTCCTTATAAATTCTTTACTGTAGGTAGGTGTCTTGCTAAGTCCTATTTTCTAACATATAATAATAAAAAAATTTATAAAGAAAATTCAAAATATTTTGTTTATACATGAATTAAAAGACACATGTTACCTTTCAAAAAATAAAGATTTAAAAATAATTAATATCTGAGACTGCACATATACCAATGCTAAGTATAAACATGCATATGCATATACACTTATATATTCCCATAACATTTTAGGAGACATATTAGATTTCTTAATAAATTATTTGGAGAACAATATAACTTTAAATTGTCTGTCAAAGCTGTTAATTGCATACAGGGATTACAATTTTTATGGATATATTTATCATAGTTTTATTTGCAATAGAAGTTAAGGGCAATGCAAAAGTCACAAACCCCTGTATCAATAAAAAGATAGATTATTAATCACCTAGCATTTTCAAAAATTTCTGAGTTCATGAAACCCTTAGTGTCTTAATAATTTTTCATAACAGTTACAGGTCATCAGGCCCAATAATTTAAATCTCATGCCCAATTATCTGGTAGCTATTTGGCAAATGCAATTTTTATTTCATTTTAACAATTTTAAGTAACAGTAGTGATTTACTAATAGGATAAGTGTACTTGCCCTGGACATTTCAGATTTTGGAATCAAATTTGATAGTGCCATCATCTTAACCTGTTCTAATTTTTTTTACTTTACGTAATGTTCTTCATACAACATACTTGTCATCAGAGGAATGAACACAAACTCAGCTTCACAAAGATAGGAAATCATTGGAAGGAATGTAGTATGATTAAATAAGGAAATCCCGTCAAGCTAGTGTTTCCAACAATGTCTAAGTAGTGTCCACTGCTAACGAGGTTCCTTCAAAATACCAGTATCATGTGCCTTGCTCTCCAGGTCTGAGACTGCACGTACACAAATGCTCCTGACCACTAATAGTATGTGAGAAAGCCTGATGTTTTAAATTTGTTGTCTATTTTCTTTGTATGTTTAAGTAGTTTCTAAGTTTTGTGTAACATGAAATACCTTCCTAATTGGGAATTCAGTATTGAATATACTATGCAAACCCTGATGAATATTTTAAGATTATTGGTAAATAATTAGGGCACTCCAAATATCTTCAAAGCAAGATAATCACTGAAGAGAAAAATGCAAAAATACCAGAAGTTTCTGTTTACTGTAAATTAATCTGTTCTAGCTCTTGTGACTTCACTCTCCATGTCTGACAGAATTTAAAGATGAATTATTCATTTCTCATTAGTGAACTTTGAAGTACCCTCGAAGAGTTGAGAAACCCTGAAATATTAGCATTGGGCAAACGTAACCCCAATTTTCAAAAAAATAGAATTAAAAACTTTGGGTCACAGACCTTATTGAGTTTTGGTGAAACTTATGAATATTCATGGACACACACCACTTTCCACACACAGTCCAATAGTTTCATGGACCCTGTGAATCCCCTCTCTATACATCATGCCAGGAATGCCAGCTATAGACAAAATGCCAGGCCATGCCTAAAATACAGAGGCACTCTGCAAAAATTTAAATTTATGGAGAAACTGGATATACTTACTCTTTTCTTTTTGTAAAGATACTGCCTGGTAACTCTCCTCTCAATAGTATGGTCACTGTCACAGCTGTAAAGACATAGTGGAAGTTATCCTTTATTTCTCTGTGTTTGTCTTAATGCAAAGGGGATCCCTGTGGTTTTCTTTCTTAAAGGAATCTGGGAACTATGATAGAGGCCGTCTGTGTTGTCACACATCTCCTTGATGTGTCTGGGGAGCCACTGAACCCACGCGTGAGAACTAGCTTCAAGTCTAAATTAGTATCAGCTGCACAACATTCACACTAAGCATTTAAAGTCTTCCAAAAGTATCAGAAGCCTGGTCTTTTCTTTCCAAAAGCAGATGGTGTGGTGTCTGACTTCCTTGAAATTAAACTGTTTCATTTTTTTGGAAGAGAGGATGCAAGGCCAAGAGCACAGAGACGTACGGGCACAAATGTGCTGGTAAATGTCTCCCAAGAGAATGGAAGGGGAGCACTGCCTTGAGCTATGGCATTCCTTGATCTTCACAGTGTAGAAACCCCACTGTAGTTGACTTCTCATTACCAACTGGACAGTACTGAACACTGGATCAGAAAGAGGTGTCCATTACATCTTTGTGTGGTATTCATACCACATAGACACTGTCGGTGCAAATAAACTTGACCGCAATATATGATGGTAAATGTACAGATAATTCTTGAATAGATATTAATTTTCTGCTTACTATACTTCATATTAAATCTTACAGACTTTGATTTTGAAAAATGACCATATAAAATCAGTTCTTGTGAACCAGGATCAGCAGATTCCATACTGCACTGCTAAGGGTGATTGAAGATGTCTTTCCCCATTCCTAAGGATGGGTGTCATAAAAGACACACGAGGTTTATTTTGGCACTTTTGACATAATTTGGTACAAAAATTTTTAATGGGAGATGGGCTAAGAGTTGATTTCATCCCCTCCCCTGTAGCCATGCTACACCATGAGTTCATTCATTCACCATTTGCAGGCAAGCTGCTCGCTCCATGGCTGTCTGGCACAGATACAGTGATGCACAGATGTGCGCTGCTTCCTTTTCCAACTCTGAGCCATTGAAACCAAAGGGCAGGACAGGAATCTGCTGTTTATCTTGGGCTTGCTCTGGTCTTCCAATTCTAGGGTAAACCTACTTTGGATACTGCACCATTGTCTTTGGAAATAAACTCTGCTTACAGAATCTCTCACTTGCTCATAGCAGAACCATAATATCAGCATGTTTACCTTTTTCATATCAAGGGAATGCAGACTCCTGTAGCTGCTAACCCAGTCCCCTTTTATCTTGCTCTGTCCCTGCTACAATTCAGTCAAAGAGGGTAGATCACATTTCCATTTGCATTCCAGCCAGCAGAAAGGGAGAGAGAATAGAGAGGATTATTTTTTACCCCATAACTGTCCTTGGAGTCACCCACACTCCTTCCATTTAAATATCAGTTTCAAAGAGGTTGATACATGTTTATATTGAATTGGTAGCAATGTGTGCAGCTGCAAACCATTAATTTTTTTGCCTAAAGAAGGGGAGAGAAAGCATACTTAAACATATCTAGTGATCTATGCTCTCTTTTGTAAATACTTTCTGGCTAATAAAATGGTGAATGCATTAATATCTTTAGAGGCAAAGTTACTGAATGAGAACATCATTAAGAAGACTATCACAAGAGACACAGAACCCATTATTGATCTGACTTCAACATTCTTTTTTGATTACAATAATTACAATGTTCAAAAGCATTTTGTGTACTATTTCATTTGCTCAATAGAAACAATGTAATAACACACGATTATTTACATAAAGAGCTGGGATCAGAAACCACTTAATTGTTAGAAATCTGTGTACTTGAGTCTGTGATACATCAGCTGGACACTTCCTTGAGATAGATCCTGTGCCTAAGGTTGTTGGAAGCCAAAAAACAAAAGGAGTATTTCAATAATTATCCCAATAAAAAGTGAAAGCTTCCAATTAAATAAATTATACAAAAAGAGGAGTAATTTAAAATTATTATTTATAGCTGAATGATATTCCATTGTGTAAAAATATCACATCTTTTGTCCATTCTGCAGCTGATGGGCATTTTGTTTGTTTCCAAGATTTAGCTATTACAAATTGTGCTGCTGTAAACATAGGTGTCCATATGTCATTGTGACATGAACTTTTCAGTTTTTCTGGGAAAATACCCAGGAGATGAATATCTGGATTGAGTAGAACTTCCAATCCTAGTTTTTTGAGGAATCTTCATATTGTTTTCCACAGTGGCTACATAAAAAATAATGATAATAATAAACTGAAAGAATAATAAGTTCTAAAATGTGTAATAGATATTATAATAATGAAAGAAAAAGAAAGTGCTCAGAAGGAAAGAACAACTTGTAGGTATACACGTATAACTGTATGTATGTTTAAGTGTGCAAGATACATAATCATGCTCCTAAGTTTTTGATAGTTCATGAAACAGAATAAATTGTGCTGTCATTTTTGACTGTCTATTTTAATGGTTGATTATATAACTCGACCAACTACTTCTGAGATAGCAATGTATAATAGATGAACTAGTAATGATTTCTTATTTTTTCTTCATGCTATTTTTCTTAAAATTCTGTGTCATTTCTACAATTTTTTTCTGTTTTGCTTTCTATTTAAAATAAAAAATAAAATTACTATTTAGTGATATTACTCAAAATGCGAGGTTGCATGTGATAAAATAGATTTCATTAATCTGGAAGAAATTAATGAAAATAGATTTCATTAAGTTGGAAGAAACTGATAAAAGAAACTGCAAATAAGCACAGCAACTCCATTTATTATCAATAAATATCATCACTGACATTGGGGTCAAGTATGGAACACTGGATAAGATCAACTCCATGCACTGGAAAATATTTTTCCAACATTCTACCATCATAAATTTCATTCTGTTTTTCCTTTCACAGTTTCCTAATCTTTTTTATACTTTTATTTTTCTTAAATTTTCCATTCTCCCCTTGTAAAACTTCCCTCATTATTTTGTCACCCTATGGCAAATATGTGGAGGTAACCATGATTAACAATATCTAATCAGTTTGCTTTTTACTATTGCTTTATAAACAATTGATTTGCACTTTTCCCCAAAACTAATTAAACATTTTAAATTCCGTGGCACTAAGTAATAGAATATGACCTACTTAGACACAAAGATATTTTCTTATGTTCCAAATATGGAATCCTGATATCTAAAAATGTTTGAGCTATTGTTTTTCCTTTCAAAAACTTAAAAGAAAAATCGATGTTGGCATCATAGGGAAAAATTTAAACAGAACTAAAGTCTGAATTGTGTATCTCAATATTATAGCTGTGAATAATAGTTGTATTATTTATTAATATACTAACAGAAAATGTAATTCTGGGAAACTAGATATTAATTATAATATTGTGTTATAAGTGCTTGATATTAGAATACTGTAAATTGACCAAAGGTACACAGAAAAATGCATAGCTCCTTCTATAATCAATAGTAGCTAAAGGAACATACTAAGCAGCACTTGTATTAGGGCTAGAGTAGGATTTGGAAAACCCATAATATCTTTAAGAATATACAGCTCAACTTATAGTTCCCAAGCCCTAAGAAGTCCCTAATCAATACACTAATGATATTGTGAGGTATTTGCAATATTTGAAATAAATATAATTAACTTTTTGGCTCTACTAGTCATTAGATCATAATAAATGTGCAGCTAGTAAATATAGTATTCTTTGCTTTGGGCTACATTTTTATCAAATTATTGTACTAGTGCTTGTTATCTAGAAAACTACCAGAGGCACTTATTGATAATATGCCTTTGAATGATAAACATGAAAATCTATTTTTAATATTACTTGTTAAAAAATTTACTGGATAAAATCTTTCAAAATATTCTTGAGAAAATTTACAAGATGCCTCTGGGTAGCAAATAATACAAGGCATTTTTGTTATTTTATTGCTCAAGTTATAATGATCAAAATTAATGAATCCATTTTGCAATTCAATAAGAACATAATGTGTAGAAGATTTTGTAACTAAAATCCCATAATGTTTGCATGTTTTGATTGAGACAAAGATAGTTGACCTTGCTTGCATTTGTAATATTTTTTCATTTATATAATGCAGTATCATTGTTTATGTTTTTTTTTCTCAAAGATAACTTTTGGAGGCATACCTTTCTCTGGAAAACCAAGTTCCAGTAGTAGAAAGAATTTTAAAGGCTGCATGGAAAGCATGAACTACAATGGAATCAACATTACTGACCTGGCCAGGAGGAAGAAATTAGAGCCATCCAATGTGGTGAGAGACTGCATGTCAAAATACTGGTCCATAAGAATCATCTGTCTTGTACGGGTGTCAAACGGCCACTGCCAGATCATCAAATATTTCATAATGGATATGTTGGGTTCAAAAGTGCAAAATAATGAAGCAAAATAGTGATACATTAATATTAATTAAAAATTAAACTTTGATGATCTTTTCATGTAAAGTGTGTGGACAAGAGAGAAACAGTAATAGTTTCACTTATAGGCAGCGTGGATTAGGCATGCCATAAATATGTATGATAATCTGAGGGAAATTTTGCAAGAAAAATATGAGGATTTTTAGATGAGAACAGTACGATTTCACCTGAAATAATGTTTCCAAGGTGACTTTATGTCATTGATATAGATTGTGGACTCATATTATGTGAGTTCCCACGTTACAGTCCTTTCTCATATATAACACACAAATACATACATACTATGTACACATCCATAGTATTTTGGATGAAATGGCAACAGAATCCTTTTATTTTTTTCCTCCAAAAATGTTGCTTAGACTGTCAGCTGTCATAGTCCAGTTTCCATAATTTGCACCCTTCAGCAGAGATAAAATGTTAGTTGTGCCCAGACCTTACTGTCGCTCCTGAGATGTGTTTACTTAGTACTCAAACTACAGAGGGTTGTGTGAGGGAAACTCATTGCCAAATCAGCCATAACTGCACAATGGAATCTGATGGCAAATGCAGGTTCCAAGGTAAATAAGTAGCAGGAACATCCTGTAAAATATTGATGCTATACAAATATATTCTACTTTAACAAACAGTTGTATGGGCAGGCATAGAATCAACTTTTGAATCAAAATATGCATGCATGCTCAAAATATTAGGTATGATAAAGACAAGCGTGGAATTTTCTAACCACCCCTACAAAGGAAAATATTTATATAGAAAATTTGCTTTCAGAGGTACCAAGTTTGTTATTTTAATGAAATTGATTCAAGGCTCATCCCACCCAATCTCCTCACAAACTCATTTTCCCACAGTATGCCAACTCCAGAGTCAACAGCATTGCTCAGAAATAATCTTTTATTTTTTCTGAGAGACAATCAGGTATGTGGTCAATGATAACATTTCAGCTATTATAGCTAGGCAGTTCTTTCCACTGGTAAATAGCAAGCCTTTAAAAACAATCTTCTGTGAAGATATAGAGCAAATTTAATTTGAATATTAATTCAGAGCGACATCGTGTCTTAGACTTAGTGGTTCATGTGCTAAAATGGAACAGCTAAGTATCTGTAAAATATATGTGGTGTGGTAATGTATGTATGCATACCTGCACAGACGTGTATACACTATGCAGAAGTATGAGCAAGAGAGAGAGAGTTGTTTAAAATGTCATTAAGTTATACTCTTTAAAATGTTAACATTGGATAAAAGAAGTCAGAAGCAAATGTAGATTCTCAAGTCTTTCAAAGAAAAGGATATAGTCACTGAAATATATAATCCAGTGTGGATAAATGGTGGCTAAAATTCATTATTTATACCAAAAGTACATGTATACTGATAGTTCCATAAGCATTAATGTATTGTGATACAAACATATTTCATAAAATCTTAAATGGGTGCTGAGTTAGTTAAAAAAATAATCAGTTGTAGAGATGTTGAATGGTTAATATCAATCCATAGGTAGCAGCAGCTATGTAGACAAATCCAAAGATATCCGCCGTCAAATGTCAAGCTAACACACAATTAGCAAATAAGCATGCAGTGGACCAGAGGTGCCATGTATGGATGGACTCTGGCATTGCCATAGAGAAGAGGGCAGGGGCCTGCGTTTCCTCAGCCTGGGCTTTGCCAGTATTAGTGCTGTGTCAGTGTCTCTTGAAGGTTTAGCAAACCACACCCAAATACAAGCACTCAGTGCACCCCATGGTCAGCCCATCAAGGCAAGGGCCAGCTGTCATTCTCAGACTGCATGATGCTTTAGCAGCTCCCCAGGTGGCCAGCTATTGTGCAATATTATGCTCACACTCCAGGAGATTTCCTGCAGCATGCTGCTGTCTGCACAGGCTTAGGTATTGCTTTTGTACTTGTAGATCATTTTATCCAGAGTTTTCTTACATGAGTCTTGTTTTGTTCCACATTGGCAACAAAACCAATCTCTTTTTGCTTCGTAGGGAAACCTGAGTTTCTCGTGTGTGGAGCCCTACACGGTGCCAGTCTTTTTCAATGCAACCAGTTACCTGGAGGTGCCTGGACGGCCTGAACAGGACCTGTTTTCAGTCAGCTTCCAGTTTAGAACTTGGAACCCCAATGGTCTCCTGCTCTTCAGTCATTTTGGGGATAACTTGGGCAACGTGGAGATTGACCTCATAGACAGCAAAGTGGGCGTTCGCATCAACGTCACACAAACCAAGATGAGCCAGATTGATATTTCCTCAGGTCAGTGAAATCTCTTTGACATTTGCTGCTTAAACTGTTCTTGTGATTCCCAGAGTTCATACTGTGTGTCATTTTCAGTGGTGTTACATGCTCTTGATTATACTTTAATTCGGATTTTAAGAAAATTTCTTGTTTACCTTCTGTGACTGTTGAATAATGAAAACTCAGAAAATTCCTACAAGGGTAAAGTTTAGGCAGGAAATAAAGTCCAGATTGCCTTACTATTGTAACCTGCTAATCCTTAGACATTCCTGTTTATAGTTAATAGAAAAATTAATATTCTGCTAAGTGAACATTTTATTTTTAAACCAAAAATGACTGTAATAACATGGCAATACCTGGTGTCTTTTGATTTTGTGCATTCGAAAAATTTTCAGGATTAGTAACAAGATTATATTTAATTGTAATTTTGAAAGAATAGCCAGCTGCCTAAAGCAGCTACTAAAACTATGCAAATTGTCATAAAAGAATTTGAGAGTTGAACACAAATGGAATGACAAAACTATACATGTATCAACTGAAGAGAGATTAAACAAGGTCATTTTTAAACCTGGTATTACAATGAAATGATAAGCTGAGGCTTAAATATTATTAACTGAGACTTAGCAGTGTCAGCATAATCTCTGAATAATATGGTACAAGGTAAGCTATTATTCCCAAGTAAGGTATTACAAGCCAAGAAAAATTAAACACAAAGTAGGATCAATAAATAGTAAAGTGTTTTACCAAAATCTCTCTAGTTATTTCTTGTAGTAGTCTTATTTGTTATGAAGAGCAACATAGAATACGCAACAGAAAAAAAAAAAAAATTCTGAGCAATTAGTGGAGATATAACCATCACTGAGAAAACTCAGACCAAAGAGTTAAAGTACATGACTGAGGGCCCTGATATTTAAATTATGCATGTTATTTCGTGATCCACTCTGCATATACTCAGGATGGTTTTCAATTCATAATATCATTATATCTGCCATATTTTCCTTGAGCTATAAACTCCTTGAGGGCAGAGGCCAGATATTGTTTTGTCTCTCACTTGTACAATAGCAGCTAGAAGAAGAGCTCCAAGCATGCTCAAATTCAGTGATCTGGCCTGGACTGTCTCCTGCTGGAAGGCTGATTTCTTGCACAATAAGCTTTGGGCTTCCATGTACACTGTAACTGGAAAGGATTCGTGGAAGTCATCAGAACTGTTCTATCACAGATGCAACTGTGCTACTGAGATCTAAGGGTACTGTGGAACACCTAAGTATTCAAGTTCTCTGTTCGCTGTGTATTTTGCTTTTTCTCTGACTGTTCAATTAAAATGATTGATCAATTATATTTTATTATCTTTTCCCTGTGTAAACTTACCTGGGGAGATTCAGAGCAAATACAATATATCTGGAAAGACCAAAATAAGATAAAATAAACACACATAGAATGTTTCCCACAGTTGAAAAGCTCCCCCACAGTAAAGATTTTAGATTCTTTGCTAATAGCTCAGAATATGCAAGTGTTAGCATGAGTCTTCCCTCCTGAGATTCTCTGAACAAACCCAACTTGCTGGTGAGTTTCCAGGTAACAGAAACCATGCTATTTGAGGTAATTAGATCTAAATGAATGATAAACACTTATTAGTTTGATTTGGTCTAATTAAGACTCCATGCTGCTTTCATCTAATTTACTGTGTGTTAAAAAAAAAAAAAAAAAAAAAAAAAAAAAAAAAAAAAAAAAAAAAAAAACAAGGAAGAAATAGTGAATAACAAAATTGAATTTGTGACCATTTTTTAAAGAAGTACTAGAATTGAATGTAAGGCCCTCCCAATGCACTATACCTCAAGTACTTTTTACCTATTTTGAGTTTGAGTCTGGCTGTGTTTCCTAGGATGAACTCAAACTTGTAATCCTCCTGCCTCAGCCTCCCAAAGTGCTGAGATTACAAAAGTGTGCCACTATTTCCAGTTTCTAGACAATGATTCTTAATTACATACAAAGCAACATGAATTTTACTTTGTTTTTGCTGTATATTCTTACACTAAAAAAAAATCCTTGCTGGATGTGGTAGTGCACATGTGTAACATCCCATTACTTGGAATGCTGAGGCAGTGGGGTTCAAGATCAAGCCCGGCTTGAGCAACACAGCAACTTAGGGAGATCTTGCCTAAAAAAAAAAAAAAAAAATCTTCAAAAAGGACTGCAGATGCAGCTCAGTGGAAAGGATCCCAGTTCAATGTCCTATACTATTAAAAAAAAAAAAATTAAAGGCACTTTACAAGGCTTTCACATTTAGTCAATATTCATGAATCTATGTAAAGGTAACTCACAGAAAATGTAAATATTTCTTAGTCTTTCATAAGCCATTGAAAATATCTGAATTTCAAATACAGCATTTGGTTTTCTTTCATTTTTCTTTTCTTATTCTTCTTTGCTATGTGCATAGTGCAAACTAAGGACTCATTGTTTGTCATTTTCATCTTTGAGAAAAACTAACTAACATAACACAAACATCCTAAAAGGGGCAAGGGATATAGTTCAGTGGCATAAGTGTCTGTTGGGTGAGCTCAAGGTTGTTAGTTTGATTCCCAGTACCAAAAAGAAGGAAGAGGAGGAAAAGGAAGAGGAGAATGATTCCTGGGGAGGACAGACTGAGACCTACACTTTTAAATGATTTTGATCAAAAGATAGTATAGGATATTTTAGGTTGTGTTTGATATTCACTGACAAATAATTTCATAAAATAATTTACTTTGCTGCTTGAAGCGCACTCTGATAATTTTGGTTTTCATTTTTTTATTGAAAACCATGTCATGACCAATTACAGTAATCACATGCACCAAAAACAGTCTGGCAAACACTGGACTACAGATTTGTCTTCTCATTTGATAAGTTGGAATTTTTTAACTTTCTACTTGTTTGAGGTTTTTTTCCTCCATCACTGCATTTGGAGAATTTAATATATCCTCTAGGAAGATTGTTACAATGTTATAAGGGTAATTTGAAATTACTAAGATATATTACTGTCTGACATAGAACCAAAATCAAAATCAAAAGACCTACCTACCATTTGAAATGTGATTTTTGTTGCAAAATATCTCCACTTTATTTTACCAAATACAAACAAACATTAGAACAATAAAAAGTTCTGCTGTGTTCATATTAAGATGATCATAAAATGTGGTTCAGGATGTGTATAATGAAATGAAGATTATTTGAATGCAGGAAATCTTTCACCTATTGGGAAAAAACATACCAATATCTGTCCATATATAAACAAGTGTTTCAGAAAAGCCATTTTGAATTCGTCCCACTTCTGAATCACCTGTTCAGCTAAGCTCAAGCATTTGAATCTCTGTTTGTTTATGTAGAAGCTGCTTGAATTTAGATGATGCTCAGCGTCCACATCACTTGTAAACATGCACTCAGCTAAAATCATCTTTGTTTGTATTTTTCTCCAAAGCAAATCCTTTGTAGCCTGCTGTAACTCACTCACTCAGCAGGATCCTGAGAGGGGCAACAAGAGATTTAGAAAAACCTGGACACATATTGAAAGGAAAGCTGGGATCAGATGGGATATGATCTCTCCGATAGAGAGGCAGCATCAACACAGCATGGTCAACATCTTTATTTATACACAGCAAAAAAGGGGAAGCATGCAGCAGAGTGAAAAGTGCAAGGTCTCAGTGTTTTGCTGAGAACACTGAATGGGAAATGTTCTCAGAAACATTCCCTGAGCCGTATTTAACAGGAAGGAACACTAAGGTCAGACATCTGCTGGACTAGCCTTGCGCTAATCCCAAGGAGTTTGCAAACCTCCAGCTCAGCCATGGTTCAGCCACTGCCTACGGTGGCCTGATTTTATTTAATCTTTTAATCTTAGTAAAATTTCCTTAACAAAACTTTGAGTCTCACGGGAATGTTCTGGGGAAGAAGGAGATGTTTTCTTCATTTTGTAGGGCTAAAAGCATGCTGGGAATACCAGCCACAGATTGGTTCAACCTGGGCAAAGCTGTGTGGTGAGTACTTACTGCTATACTCAGTGATAGAATAGGTGGTCTCTTGATTATGAACATTTTAAAAAGTAGCCAGAACATTAACGTTTCTTTAAAAGAACTAAGTCATCCCAATTTCTAACATCCAACACTAACTTGTATTGTGAGGTTTTTTTTTTTCATTGTATCAAAAAAAAAAAAAAAAAAAAAAAGAAAAGAAAAGAAAAGAAAATCATTTAAAATACAATTTTTATGTTTTAATTACTGGGAAATCATTTCTAGATTTCCAGTTTCCAACTATTTTAATAGTCCTTAAATAAATTTTCATAACTTAAAAATGAGATAATGCTATTATGCATTGCTTCACATATTTGATGTGATTTATTGGAATGCTTTCTAGAAAGGTGACTGGAGATTTATCTATATGAGATCAGGCATGTTGTGAGCTTAGACTGGAGAATTCTTTAGTAAAGCGTATTACTTTCCTGATTTCAAGTTTAAGCCATAATTATTAGAGCCCTTAAATGTTACTTTCCTTTTTTTCACTAAATTTGAGTAATTCTGCTTATTTCAAATGATGTACACTTAGATATTTGTCCAAGCATATCTATAATAATAAAAGTAATTGAAACAGGACAACAGAAATTTAACAATGATTGTTACACTGCATATGGTTATCTTCAAAACAGATGCTCAGATTATCAGATAGAGGCATGCATAATTGATCAAACAGTATGGGCACTGTTCTTTTCCATGAATTAATTTTGAAACCCGATTATCCAAATCACTGTTGTTTTGGGATTTTGTTGTTGTTTGTATGTTTGTTTTTGTGGTTTTTTTTTTCTTTTTTTTAAATAAAAAAAGTCATTGAAAAAGAGCAGGTGATTTTAAAGAGTGTATTCTGATATGGAATATTATTTTGTCAGTATATATAATGTGTCTCAAGTAAAATTTAAACCATGTATAAAATATAATATTGTGAATGCCAAAATTTATATATATATATATATATATATATATATATATATATAG